ATAAAAAATAGATAAAAATTTTCAATCAATAAATATCTATATAAGAAGAATATCTATATAAGAAGATCTGCAAGTGTAAAAAACTAATACATTTATTACATATAGCGGAAAAGAAAAATTTATACGATTTTTCGCTTCTAATGTCATAATGCAATATGATTGCAACGGGAAGCTAAGAGCCTTAGATAGAAGACGAAACTTCGCGAAGGAATTCCGAACAATTTACATATCGCGAACGTGCGCACGCTCGTAAATAAAACTCGTAGGAATAATTTACCGAGTGATTCGCATCACGTTGCTTAAGCTGCAAACAGTCAGCAAATTACAGTTGCCATTAACCTTTCGCCTCAGTAGTGCGTTTTATATTGTGACAAGTTTTATCGCTTCATTCGCGGTTCTTTGTCGCCATCCATGGCGCGTTAGTTCGACTTTACTCTTCACGGGTGAAATTCCCCAAGTTGCTGGCATGAATATTTCATTGCGTTGCGATGACCACGTCGACACTCTATTGAGCGGAGACATTTTTATTGGTTCCTACAGAAACTTAATGTACATCGTTCTACCAATAGAGATAATTCCAAAATTTCCGCTTAAAGTGTAAAAGTCTTAGTTAAAAATATTTTTATCTAGTACTTAACAAGTTTAACGAGCATTATGGTCATTTATTTAAGGGCTCTTAATTAGGAATCACTTCAACTTTTACTGTTACCCACCGAAAAGTTTCGAAAGTCAACTAAGATTCTTTAATGAGAGCGATTATAATAAAAATCTTTTTACAATTCGGAGTTTAAAACTATACTGATATATTTACTGATTATTAAAAAATAATTAAGAAAATGGGATAAAACTTTTCATGGGAAAGATCAAGTTACATTGCCTCAAAAATATAAAAAAATTTGCAATTATATTAAATCATTGCAAATAAATATTTTAGAATTACACCATATAATCAAATCTTAAGAATGTATCAGATGTATAGTCTCTGCAAAAAGTAACTAGAATTAGAAATTTTACGTGTAAAAATGAATGTTGTATACGATATAGTTTAAGAAAGTCAATATTTATATTTAATGATACAATTTTACAGTTTAAATAAGTTTTCTCATTTTATTTTAATTATTTTTTAAAAACTTATCTACTTCTGATTAAAATAATCTTTGGTCCATATTCTATGTAAATAACAAACTTTTTACATTACCTTCAAATATATATTAAAAATCTGTAATTTTTTCGTAGTTTTTCCTTTTTTTAAAAAAATATGTACAATACATTCTTAAGGAATTGAGAAATATTTTCCTGATTTTGATTTCACTCGTATAAAGTTAACAAGAATCTCGTTATTTTATAAGTGCATTGTGTTACGTTCCTTTATACTATGTATATAACAGCCAACCTTTTAATCAAATTTATTATAGCGTAGAATGTTTAAGCAATATGTATGTTCTCAAAAGAACTCGATGAGTCTGTGATTATATTCTCTTTACTGACACTACAAGTATCTCGTCAAATGTTCGATCACGCTATCGCGATTTTCCATCGACAATCGTTCAGAGTAATTTTGCTATAACAGCAATTGTCCGATATTTGAGTAAAAAAGAACACAAAAAAGGCAATTTAATGATTATTCCGCTCGATGGTATGATTCGATCACCAGCACTATTATTATCTCATCTCATGAAAAAGTAGCCGTTTGTTTATATCAAAATAAATAAGAGGGCATACAATAAATCAGTAATATTTTAAGTTATTTCTCTATGTTAATAAAAAACGAAAACATAAAATTAGTTCAGATTTAGAAATTATTTAATACGAATTGTGCTACAATAAATTTAAATTCAATCAAGTTAAATTTTAAACTTATTACAAATTTATTACAAAAGTGATAGTTAATTCTTTCTAAAAATGTCACGAATCATTGCTTAATGCAATTTTCAATTCAACTATCATTCTTATAATTAAGATTGAAATTTGTTAAATAATGGAAATTGATTGAAAAGTATAATTTTTATATTTATTTATTCCTTAGAGATTTGCTCTATGAAATATGTTTTATTTTCAGTCATTGATCATTTATTTTTCTCTACTTTATAATTATTATTTGTATTTCCGATTCATTAAATAATTTTGTCTTTAGTTTATCACTTAATGTTATTTAAAGTCTCTAGGCTGTTTATTTATGAAATTAATTTTAAACTATTGTAGTTAGATATTCAAAAATAACTTTATTGAGTTCTACTGCATTTTATATTATTTTCTTGTAAAATATTGAAACTAATATTTTTATAGCTTATGTAGAAATCTAGCATTAAAATGGTCAATGGCTTCTATTACGCTTTATGCAATTTTGATTCCAGTTAAGCTTATTTACGATGTAAGAGGATAAGAAACCTGCTGCAAGATATAAATAAGTCATGCTGCTAATCCAACCTTTCTCAGACATCCAACAAAGTTGATGATCCCTTTGGCACCCTGCAAGGACCTCGCATCAGCTCCTCCACCGACGAGAAGTCGATCACTGGCCAAGTGTGTGAATGATCCCGCAGTATGACCATGCTCAGCGTAAACCCCATCGACAATAGCAGAGAGCTATAACAGAAAGAATTAAATTAAAGAATAAAAATTCTATGATGAATTATAGAATTAATTTTACTCTTACTTTAGTTCACTTTCTGTACACAATTAGCACACATTCAAATTAAAAAAAATATTAATACCATTAATATTAATATTATTAGTTTAATATAATCTTCAAAATATATTAGCTTTGTAATATTTTGTAATTTTTCTAATAATTTTAAATTTCATGATTTTCTCAATTTTTTGCCTATTTAAAGTCTACATTCATTAAATGAAGGCTTGCTTATTCCGCCCGTAATTTTTTCCAAACCGATAAATTGCAAGCGTCGTTATATCTTGCTGTTCCTATAAAAGTAACCGGCATTAACGTCAGTAACGCGCTTCTACATCTCGGTAGTAAAAGAGCGGCTAAAGTTTTCAGGGCGATCATGCGGGTATGTCGTAAAGTTTAGCATTTAGACAAGCACCGTTCTTGAGGAGCGGTTCATTACGATCTTAGCAGTGGTGTCGATAGACGTTATCTTTCGGTTATATCCTTCCTTTTTAGTCTATCAACGCTTTAACCAACAGAAAGGGAAACCGGATAGAATGGGCAGGGTTAAAACGTTAGGATGTTACGTCCTCTCGCTGTATCTCTCTCGAAGGCATTTAACTGAGAAGAAGATACTATCCTCTTACTACTCTTCATCATCTCTTACCACCAGGGCCGCCGCAATGCAGCCTGAAGATTTTTAATAGTTTAGTTTAATAGTAAAAAATAAATCTTAGAGCTTTTTCAATTTAGGCAATTGCAAATTACACAAGTTAAAACATTCGAACATTTTCAGTTTCATAAGAAATTTTACATTAAACATACTTAAAAAATAATCAGAATTTTCAGTTTCATAACTCAATTTCAAAATGTTAGTTAAATACAGAGGTAATTCGTAATGCAATCATGAAAATTTACATATTTTTATATTTCAAAATTTGAATAACTATTCAAAATATTAATTTAATATTAATTTTCATTTTAATAATAAAAATAGAAAATCTTGCACATTATATATACAACATTATATATGCAACATTATATAAAATTTGTTTAGATACGGAACTATGTGAAATTAATGTAAAAGTATAAAATATTATGTAACAACATATTATAAACATATTGTAATTGGAATTAAAAAATAAGTTGGATAAGATTATTATATATAAACTGTTAATTTTTTTCTATAGTAATAATGTGCATTATTATTTAAGTACAATTATCTTAAAATCTATGTTTTAGAAAACAATATATTACTCAGCAGGAAACAGCAGCCTGAAACAGGATATATAAAATAAAATTATAACAAAGATAGAATTAAGACTTTCAAAAATGAAACTTCGACAAATAATCTCTTTAATTAACTTATTAGCTCCAAAAATATAATGTGAAGCATTAAAGCCGTATATAGGACCGGCCCTGTTTGGCGCTTCCGCCTTCCTTCATCGTAATTAGGTAGCTCTCTTGTCGAGGGCGCTTCCTTGGACCGCAGTCGAGCAATCTCCTTCATAATCCTCCAGGCCTTATCTCCGATGCTTCTCAGTGAACAAATAGATCTTGAGCTCATCGCGATGAAATTAAGGAACTGTCTACGAGTAACGGTGTTCCGCACAGTAAAACGTACTTTGCATAAAAGTGTAAAGATACGTTAATGCGTTTCTGCCATCACTTAATAACAACTGTATTTATGATAAAATTTAGTAGTAAAGTAATATCCAATTAAAATAGTTGATATGTAACTCTAAATGAGGAATTTTACGCGCGTAATATTTTCCTACGAAATAATAAATTCATAGCAATAAATAATGAATTTATTTATGTATAATTAATAAGATAATTATTTACGTAATCAATTTATAAATGACAAACCATTAGTTAAATCGATTCAACTGCTTTAGGTGTATGTATAAATTATTAAATGCTTGTTTATGTATTATATGTTTCTGATCGTTTATCGATCATCGATTTTTTTTATAGAGCCATCAACGAAGATATATAAATTAAAATTGAATTGTTCGATAGAATAAGCATATATCTTAAATATGTAGAGACTTGGTTTTATAAATTTTCAGTTTTATATCTCCTGTGAGGCTCATTACGTCCGTGGATTAGCGTACTTTGGTGAGTCGCTAATTCAGGTGGAAATTTAATTAAGCCGAAGTAAATCAAAATTCGCAGCTTTGATTTGAATCGGGAAACCGCAATATCTCGCTCTATCACGAGGAAGAAATTAATTTTCCGACTTAATTAATTTTCCATCTTCATTAGCCGCTTCTGGACTCGCTGACTCGTGCTAATGGCCGTCTTAAACATTTATAACAGTGTCCAAATGTGAACTGAACCGGTAATTCATTGTACAGGCAACTATTTTCTTTCCCTGAAATTGAGCTAACATGATAATTTATGACCCGTCGCTTTTAAAATACATATAATGTATATTTTGTGTGCATTTTGTTATTGTCATTTTTCGTTATGAGTTCAATGATTAATATTCTATGAATTCTTGCATTAATTCTACATTATACATTATATATAATAACATATATAAATATATGTATATACATAAATATATATAATATACAACGTTGCAAACTTAATAATAAAAGATTAAGCGATATATAAAATAATAATAGTATTAACCCAATCGACATCAATTAAAAGTAACATAACAACATCTATATTATTATTTCTCAGCAACATAATATATCACATATTATATAATATTTACATTGTTAAGTACAAAATTATAACATAAATGTTATATTATTTTTAATCGATGTCAATTGGAAACTTTTATACATTTTCAAAATTTTACATGCAAGAAAATTGCATATCTAAATATTTTATGCAATGTAACTAAAATTAATTTCTTAATAATATAGATATTATTTTAAAAACCTAAATGAACGATGACGTGGAAAGGAGCCATGCAAGTCTCAGTTTAAAAGAAGAATGTCCTCTAATAGCACCTTTTTCTTTTTGTCATGATAATCGTGAGCCACCAAGCGTCAGCAGACATTCCTCGGTTGCGTGCACAATGTATTTGGGGCAACACAATAAACGTAGCCAGGAAAGTGGGCCACAAACCCACCGGAGGAAACATACGCGAGAGAGGGTCCCTCTTGCAACCAGTATGCTGATCCTCGTTTGACGAATATGGAGCGAACGGAGTGACAAAGGGGATGGAGTAGACTATTTATTACAACTAGACGTAAGCTCTACTTAGCCGCTCACGGATGACGGACATTGTGCATTTGTACGCGTCTGTGGAGACGTAAAAGTATATTGTATTTTGTTGTCGCTAATGATTTTTAAATTTTGCTTCCTGAATATTTATCGCAAATCAAAGAAATTATTAAATTTTATCTCTTTTATATTATATAAGTAAAAAGTTTAAAAAGTTATCTATGATTTTTATTATGAAATAAAAATCCCAAAATTTTAGAGACTTAGAAATGTTTTAAAAATTAAAGATATTAAAAGTAAAGATTTCAAAAAATTAATTAAATTTAAGTAAAAAAAAATCCAAATTATTGAAATTCTCATATTAAGATTATAAAATTAAGGTTCAATTAATGTTCTTTTAATTATATACTTTTATTAAAATATTGAGATTGTAAATATACCTATTTGAATTATTTGTTCAATATATATATTTTTTCAATATAATATTTTTAACAATGCTTATTCAACTGCTATTTGAAAACACAAAGTTTTTATCATGTAACAAATAGCAACGTTGTTCCACGTTAAAAATGGAAGCTGCAAAATGATTCCGTTTCACTATTGGTTTCGTTCGCTTCACCAATCGTTTTTCTACATTACGTCGTACCACGGAAATAAATGATTTCTACGTTTTTAACGAGATCGTAAATTATACCCGACACCCTGAAAGGCGGCCTGCGGAATGAGTGAAAAACAAGGAAAAAGATTCGTGGGAAACCAGGGAAAACCGGAGAAACGTCATCATCGAATTTACTGGAGCATCGCGAAAGTCTTAAGAACGGTTCAAACTCAAACATCGAGGTGAAAAGACGGGAAATGTGAAAACTTCTACGCGCATACTCACTAGGGAAGAAAAAGGCAGTATCAATGCGAGATCTCCTTGCTCTTTGCATTATGAATGATTTATTCTTGCTTTTTAGAGCGATAACGTCGTGTCACAATCCGACATAAGATATAATTTCAAGAAAGAGAATAGTTTTTAGGATAGTAACATATTAAACTGATTTCTATTTATATTTCATATGTCCAAAAATGAACATCAAAATAGAAACTATTGTGATATATATCATTTAATTGCAAAGTTAAATTATTTAAAAAATTGCAAAAATTATTTCATGTTACTTTCTAATCTGAATCAGGATAATCACTAATAATCACTGATATCAGTGCCAAGTATGCTACTGATAATCAGTGAATGAAATGTGAGATCCCTAATCTAGCTGATCTTTATTATGTGATCTAACCTTGTTTTGATGTGTGCATAAATTCAATGAATATAGTACTGGAAAATTGAAATTAACATACAAATATCAGTATTTTAGTTATATAATCAAACATTTTTTCTTTTTTAGTTAAATTTCACTGATTGTCAGTACCAAATGCCCCTGAATGACTATTGATTGATTCAGATTTAGAGAGTACGTTATATAATTTTTATAATTTTAGCGAGATTGCTAATTTTTATTACATAATGTGTCGTAGAAAAAAAAATATATGAAGTGGAAATACTCGCATTTAACTAATGGGAAATTGTCAGCGATAAGTAAAAGAAGTAATTTACGTTTACGTGACAAGAAATTCGTGATAACGTCAGTATTTTCAGCTCACGAGCTGTACCGTAAATTATGCAATCGATCGGTTTCGCGCCCATTTGCATTTCAGAATCTTTTTCCGACTCCTCGCTTGAAAGCAGTCAAGTGCAGGCGAGATGCATCAGCTGCAACTTTTTCCGCCGTCTCGTCGAAATCGTCGGTATATTTCTTTGAGACAGACAGGCGATGGAAAATTCATCGTTTATTGAAATGTTATTCCGTTCATAATATATAAAGCAATTTATCTTCTACATGAACAATTGAAACATTAGTATTACGAAAATATAAAATTACTCTTAATCATCTAATTTTACGGTGTAAAATATGTAACTTCCTAAATCAGATTAATTTATTAAAGTTATAAAAAAAGTCTTTTGTGTGTGTGTGTGTGTGTGTGTGTGTGTGTGTGTGTGTGTGTGTGTATACATATTTCTATTCTTTTCTTTCTTTTTCTCCCGCTCTATCTCTCTTCACAATTACATTATACTTATACATTAATTATAAAAGTAAAAATTTATGTTAAAATGTTTCTATTATTTCCAAATGTTTTTGTTATTCTCCGAAATTTTCTTTTACCGAATTATTTCTTTCTCTGTTAATAATTCGATTATCTTAATTTCAAGAAATACAAAGTATTGTAGTTACAATTAATAATACTGTGATATGTTTTGCAGTTTCATTAAAAATCTATCGTTTATTAATTCTTCAGTCAGGACAAAAATGTAGGAATTTCTTCTCACGGTATAACATCATTTATAAACTAAAAGTCCTCCGCGTATTTTATAGTTCAGTGGCATTGAGCTAGGATAAATAATGTGAGAACATTTGTCAACTTATTTCTGTATGCCACTCTTGTGAAAATACTTTCAATAAAAAATTCACACGAGATTCTTTCCGCCCGGAAGCACAGCGTGCGAGACAACGACGCTCACGTAGGCGAGAGGACGAGACTTGAATGGAGATCTCGAGATCACCCGTGTCTCGGTAGGACATGAGTAGAGCAATAAAAGAACGTGGCCAGAGGACCTAAATGGATGGATGACTGAGTTCTTGTTAAAAATGCCTCAAAATTTCTCTAGAATGCAGGCAAGTTCACGCTCTCCGTTGCGTTCAAGACGTTTAAGAATAAGAATACTTAGTAAGAATAAAGATACTTAATAGCAAAAAAGAAATAATCAAATCTAATATTTAATCAATTTAAGATAAAAAAATATTTTAAATATTCATTAAACGAATTTCCTACAAATATAATATTTTTTAAAATTTAATCTTGTAATATTTTTCAAAATAATCTTTTTTATAATTATATTTATATAGTATCGATGTATGTTATTGCAGATAAAATATAGGAATTATAATCATCGAATCGAATTAAAATAAAATAAATTTGTCGTTTTTGATAAAATATAAAAGTAATATCAAGTATTGAGTGTAAAACAAAGTCTTTTATAAAAAAAAGTACACAAAGAAGAATCGTGATTAATCAACTAAATAATGTAAATTCAACTGGGACGATTGTAATATTCTTTTACGCGCTATTTTTTGCGATAATATTTGCACTTTCAATGCAATTGATCGGGTGCATCAAAGCGCCATGTACATACATACAATATGTGGTATAATAAAAATCATACACTCACCCTGCAAAAGCTGGTTATTGAAGAGATCTGAAACATAAAGCATAAAGTGCAATCAGTATAGAGTACACAGTATACATTTTATGCGTTTCCGGGCGTTTTCGAGCGGCGCGGCGTTGACAATTGAAATCCAAAAAGTTGCCCGATGTGCGAAAGCTTTCGAAGCTTGATCGCCGCGAAAGCTCGCGAGCTATTCGACGTCGAACGAAACTTTTCGTCTGGATTATCATAAGAACTTTTTTGATGCAAGAATAGTTACGCGGCGCGTCGCTCGAGAAAAACGCAAATGTATTTTACGTATTTGTAGAAACTTCAGCGATTTTTATTTCTTCGTAAAAGAAGGCTCGCAATTTAGTATATAAAAACTTTGCTTGGCGGTACGAGTCAAGTTCGGAATTTAAATTTTTTTGCAAATGTTCATTAGGAACTTAATTATCTTATCATCTTTTAAATGATAATAAGATCACTGTCCGAGTAAAGCCCCAAAATTCTCTCTTTTTCATTTATTTCAAAAGATATAAGAAATAGCTTTTATTAAACATAAATAACTTGAAAAATATTCCATTTCATTTTATCTTATTTTCGTTCACCCTTCTTGCAGATTTATGACAGAGATAAAATTGTTTGATTACTTTTAAATGAGCGATACAGAACTCCAAGATTTTATCTGTAAAATTTCCTGCTATTGATAATGTTTCGAATGTGTATGTACGACAAAAGGTATTTGCTTTCTAAACGTGGGCAGTTAGCGAACATGCGGTTGTGTGGGCCTTATTAAGGAGTCCCTTTGATCATGAGGCGATTAAACGACTGACAGAACGGCAACGACCAGAACGAGAAAGCCGGTGAGCTCTTGCTTTTGCGCGCTACGAAATGATCACGAAAAACGCACACATATGTATCTCTTCTGGCGATTATCGTAGTCACATGAATTTGTCAAACAATCGTTGTAGACTTTTTCTTTGTCGTTTGACGATTGTGCACATTAAATATACATTGTGGTTACAAACTTTATAAAGTTTTTATAATACACAGTTAACTATTTTATTTTTATTGAATTTTATTTTTGTTGAATTCGTACTTCTTGCATATATTTAATAAATAAAAATATAATTTATATAAATTTTTATATATTTAATGTAAGTATATTCTATTCATTGTTGTACTTTTGCATAATGTCGATTGTAAATATTTGTGCAAAAGTTAAAATAATAGATTATAAAAAGCAGTTATCGAAACAGATGACAAGTACAATATGTCATAACATATATCACTTGAAAATATGTGTAAATTGCAATTTTTATTTTGAATAAAATTTCACATAATCATTATAACATCGAATTTAATGCGTACATTACAATCAATTTAAGGATTGTATTGTTATGGCAAAGCAAACAGCTTCTAAAGGCTTATGGTCAGTCCTATATACGAATGGCTCTTGATTCGGTATTATGTTAATATCTCGGCAAGCAATAGTCGATACGCTCATTGTTTGCCTTTGATCAGTTATCTGCCTAATTGGCTTTCGATTTAGATCGCCTTCAGGCTCAGCGAATAATATTCGATGAGATTTCCTATGCTGAGTACACTGTCGAGTATAAAAATAGGGAACAAAGGGATTACGAGCTCGATAAGCTTTGTCCCTTGAAGCTTAACGCTCTGTATCTACACGAGTTACAGAGTTGGGCTTTACGAATAACGAAAAGTCAATATTTAATGAGGCAGTTTATAATTTATGTCAGAACATGTCGAAATAAAATATGAAATATCTCAAAGTATGAATTTTACTTTTAATACAAAGGTTTAATCGTATTTCTAATTTATACAATATTTTAATTACGAACAATCATAATATTATACATTAATTAAAAAATAAATCTATCGAGTAGCATTATTTATGATGTTATAACGATATTTTTAATATCGAATACAATAAATGCGTTTTACATAAAATTGACATTATACGATCATCGAGATTCTAATGAGATCTTCACTGAACGTCGTGAATTTAAGGACTACTTTACAGCATATCAAAGAAAAGCTCCGGCATTCCTCCGGATTCTCTTTCGGATGAGCTAATGTTTGTTCAACTGAATCATACGTAACGAATTAAACGTTCTCCGGAAAACCGCTCGAATGCGTTGCAAATCTTTCTCATTCATGAGAATGATTTAATGCCGCGGCTTTAGATCGGGTACTTCAAACATTCCGCAAACGAAGGATCGTAGATCCTTCTATTCCGCCGTAATTCTCGATGATCTCTTCCCAGATATTTCACAAACGTCGGAGACTAACGAATCATATTCATTTCTCGAAGCTCTGATTTGGAACGTTATACGGCGTTTGTCTTTAGATTAATCTTACGCAGCATTGTAATTTAGAAAGTAAAAAAGATCTTTAATAAAATGAAATCACGATCCGAAAGAAATAACATGTTATAAAAAATACGTTTTTAATGTGCACAATCTGCGTGCTGCTTATCACATAATTTCTCAGAAAGATTCTTTATTTTTTTCCTAAACTTTTCAAACAATTCATTTTATTATAACTTTGCATGCTCTTTATCCCTTTGCATGCAATTGTACGCATTTAATCTTTCTACGTAAATTTTCTCGCATTCAACGGACATTATTACACGAGCATTCTCTGTTTCTTCCTCTAGCAAGAATCGATCGTGACAACAAACGTATCGTAGATGGCATACTTCGATAGTAAATTCCCGAAGTCTCCACGTCGTGAAAGCCAAGCGTGACAAGAGAAGCGAGGCGCTATCGATGCACATAAGTTCGATCCGGCAGGCGACGAATTGAAATCTTGATTTATAGCAGGGTATATACGACCCCGAATCTCTTCGTTCGCATCGCGTATCCTGGCAGAAAAAGTAGCACAGGAAAGTTTCGTTTCAAAAAGAATTTGCTATTTTATTTGCTTTTTTTTCTTAGCCAAAGATGTATGTCTTTACATAAAAGTTTCTAATTTAACTTTAATTTGCAAAGTGTTTTGAAAAAATTCGATATCTTTTATAATCGTAATTTCTTCGGATAGTTTAAAGACTCTTCCTTAGAAAAAAAATGTCAAGTAGATCATTATTTATAACACTTTTTTAATTTTTACGCAAAAAGAACGATGAAGTATCTAAAAATTTAGATAGATGCAGATCTGAAAATAATTTTGGATCAAAATAATCAAATAAAAATCTCAAGCTTAATAAGCAATGCTGCAAGAAGTTGTAAAGTTTTGACATTTAGTAATTTCAGCGTCGTATCCTACATAATTATTTGATTATTCAACAAAATTATTTTCAGATCTATATCTAACTAAAATTTTTAGATATTTCAAGAAAATCGTCTTTTTTGTATAATATATTGTGAGTATAAATATTAGGTGTAGTAAAAAGAAATCCATTATTTTTCCATTCAATTTCATGCAAAAATAATGGATTTCTTTTTATTACACCTAATAAATTACACTACAATAAATTTTATTTTTACGTATATAATAAAAAGATATAAGATGAAACATGAACATCAGACAAAATTTTAAATCGTGAAAGTCTGTTGAATTTTAGGTAAATTCTACACGGCATCAAATAAAATAACGTAATTCCTGCGTATTCCTTGTTTATCTACGAATACGGGGGCTCAGCCTTTCGGTCGATGCACTTGTCGTCACGAAAAAGCGAGGGTGTGGCAACGAGAGATGAAAGTACTCGCGTTTAAGGGACACCTGATCTAGTGACGTACGAAGGATGAGGACGCGATCCGCCTCACTCCGTCACTCCGTGCTCGCTTGTGCGTGCAAAAGCGGGAAGAATTCGTTGCGAGAAGGAACGTGAACGAACGGGTTGCCCTCATAGCTATGCACTGAACGCAGTGAATGGATACGCTCCGAGGTGATACGATGTTAAATCTTTCTGTCAGAGATCGGTGGAATCTCTCGGGTGGAGCACGCGCGATCGTGGCAGGCTTCGTCCTTTGAGGATCTTCGAATCGACTACGCGCATTTTTCCTGTTCATTCTAAAGGCATCCCTCGTGCTAGATGCCAGGCTGGATTTTATTTTTCATTTCTACTTGCAAATACATTGAAGGATATAACTCTTAATTTGTGAAATACAAGTGTAGTTTACTTAAATATAATTAATCTATCTTTAATTATTACATGTTTTTATAACTTTTTTAATTGGCCTTTATAGGACGAAAAGTCATAGTGACACTGGAATAGTGTCGTTTTGACAAGGACAAAGTACAATAAATTATAATAAATTTTATTCAAAGAAAAGTTAAAAATTTAAAAATAAATACCCTTCTTTCCGATTTCTAAAGATTAATTTCATCTATTAATACAAGCGAATAAAATTGTTGCAGATATAAGTAGTATGATAATATAAATATGTTTATGCTTATGAACATTAGCAATTAACAGAAATAATAATATAAAACATTGAACATCTATTGAACGTCTATTATATCTTTTACCGATTTTTTTCTTTTGCAGACAATTACATAGTTACTCTATTACATTATAGCGCATATAAGCGATTATTTTAAAATCTACGTGATTAATTGATAACACTTATCTCGAAGCCAATTGCATTTAATAAATTTAAGAGCTTAATTTATAACACTCCTATAGGTGATGTAATCGATTGAAATCTTAGAAGTTCGCATGCGGAATATATCATCAGAATATTCATGTTGGTCGATATTAACGAACATTACCGCGAAATATCGTGCGTTCAATGGACTAGTGCGTGTCATCGGAACATCAGCTGGATTTCAGTTCCTCTACATTTTCGAATTTCGAAGCATTCCTGAGCGAGTATAAAAAATAAACAGCTTAGTCGATTCCATAACGTAACTCGAATTCATAATATATTAAAACATAAACATAGTTTTATATTTAACCTTATTATAAACAAAAACAAAAGTTTGTATTCGCTTAAACCATGTTTCTTTTTTCTATTAACAAATGAAGCTGATAGCAAAGTACACAGCAAACAGCTAAACTACGTATAAATTAATTGAATACA